CGGTAAATGAGACCGGTCGCCCGCGGGCCGTACGGAAAAAGGCTACCTGACCTCCCGCCCCGCGTCCGGTCCGACCGGCCGGACGCGGGTCCAGATTTTAAAATTTTTTTTAAAAAAATTATTTAAATTATAAAAAAAATAAATTACCTTGCTAGAGAAGAACGCTTTGCCGAGACCGTAGGATTTTTTCGACATTTTTTCGGAATTTTTTTGACGTTCGTATGGGGCGTTGAAGATTCGGTTTTAGAGAGATAGAGAGTTTAGAGAGAAAAAAGAAAGAAATATAGTAAATGGTATTTTCGTAATTGGGGGCGGTGACTAGTAATAGGGGACGGTAAATAGCAATCCACTAATTAAAACGAAAACCCACAGCCCAAAGCCGACCGACTCTACTTATGATATATGAGAGAGGGAGAGATAGAGATACATCGCGACTTATCGAAGAAAAAAGAGAGAAAAAATCAATGAAAGGAGAAGAGAAAAAAATAAATGAAGAAGAGTAGTAGAAGAAGAAGAAATAAACGAGAGTGAGAGAGAGAGAGATATAGAGAGAGAGTGTATGCAGGGATATTAAGACTATGTTTGGCAAACTAAATAAGCTAGCTTATAGTTTATTTGATTAGCTTTTAAGCTTCTTGTATTCAAATAAGCCCGGTTTGGTAGGACGAACTTATTTAGAAAGCCCGAGCTTATTTGATAAGCTTGTTTAGGTAGCTTTTCAAATAAGCTAGTTGAATTTTATATTCCAACTAGCTTAGCTAATTTTACCAAACTCTTTTATCATATAAGCTAGCTTTTCAGCTATAAATCATAAGCTATAAGTTATAAGCTAGAAAATTACATATAAGCTATAGGCCATGTTTGTTTAATGGCTTTTCAGCCACAAATTAGCTTTTTGAACAAAATAGATGTTTGACTTTTAAAACCTCCAATTTTAAAATGTTTGGTTAATAGCTTTTTGAAATAGCTTTTTTGATCTAAAAGCTGTTTTTCAAAAAGCTACAAATTGAAGCTTTTTCAAATAGCTTTTTTAGGAAAAAATATAAAATGACATATTTGCCATTAATTAACTCTACTACATTAACTCTACCTCATATTATTTTAACACACTAGCATATTTGGGTTAAAAATCAAAGTTAGCTTACAAAATAAATTTACATTTTATTGCATTAATATATAAAAATAAAATTGAGATTATAAATGAACTCAAATTTCTTTAAATACTCCATTGACATTTGAAATTAAGTGAATTAGGTGTTCTGTAAATATAAAAATAAAAACGAAAGATTGAGTGATGAATTATGTGCAAATTTATAGAGGAAGAGTAAGACTAAAGGTTGATAATTGATATGCAAATTTTTACATTTTATGTATTTTATTTTATTTTTTATTTGAATATATGTTATCATGTCAAATTAAAATCTTCATAACTTTTTTTTACTTCACAATTATATATTGTAACAATTTCTTATTTGTGTTATGTTATATTAAGCCGTTTTACAAATATTTTAAATATAAGTCATAGTTATTTTCAATATAATTATAATTTTAAATAAACAAGAATATAAAAGAATAGATGTCCATATAAGTAATTCTAAATGTTAACAGCTGATTAAAAATAGTTAATTATCAAACACTCTTTTGAAAACCGCTAAAACAATCAGCTGGTCAAAACAGCTAACACCATCCGCTAGTCAAAACAGCTAATGCAATCCGCTAACAGCTAACAGCTAACCGCTAACTGCCAAACAAGGCCATAATCTAGTTTATCAGCTATCAGCTAACTTATCAGCTAGTTTTATCAAACATAGCCTAAATCTCATGAAATTAGGCAACAAATCTCAATAAATAAAGTCTTAGTAATGTTACAAATAAAACCATGAAATTAGGTAACAAATCTCAATAAATAAAGTCTTAGTAATGTTACAAATAAAAATAATATAGTCTAATTGGAATGTAATAAAAGTCTTAGTAATTGTCTCTATATCCATAGTAATAGGATTGTTGTCCTTAGATGGATCATAATTAAAACGAAAACCCACAGCCCAAAGCCGACCGACTCTATTTATGATATACGTGATATATAAATTCTGTAACGATACACGGAGCGTCAGAATTGCAAAACCTTG